TAAGAGCATCATCACCCTGATGTGGGAGGCATCAAATATTTTCAAACTGACCCTGGAAAGAATGGGATAATTTGATGTGTCTATAAAAATGTTCATTACTGTGGAATCTGTATTGGCTGGAACTTAAATCCTCTGGAAGCATTTTAATTTACAACCACCCTTTTAGTTTTTCCTGGTCTTCCTTTTTTTTTTCCTGCATCAGAAAAATATGACTCTCTCTCCACTAAGAGTCATTTGTGGAGGCACCAATCTCATGTGTTCTTCATTACATCGTAGGCCGGAGTTAGAAAAAACCGGGTAAATAAGGGAACGCTTTGTATTTAGGCTGAAATTAAGATTACAGTGAAGTTGATCGTTTCAGAAACAGAAATTATAATGCTTCGATGCCGCAGGGTACTATCATATCTAGTTTGGATGGTAGTGCAGCATGACGATGAATGCTAAACTCAACTTTTCCAAACCTCCCTATTTATTTAAAAAAACAAATATTTCTACTCTAGTAGATTTCAAAGTAAATGTTCATCATCAAGAATGGAAACTGGCTTTTCCTGAACCGTACAGGCAGAGACAATTTTAAAAAATAAATACATCAAAAAAGACTGCGGATACACGATTTTAACTCGAGCACACAAAAAAAGGGGCACCTGGCTTTTAAGAATCATAGGCAGCCCTGTATCTCATGCGCTCTAATCCCTGACCTGGTGCATTCTTGTCTGAAGTTCTTGGCAGCCTATTTGCAGTGTGCAGCACAATCTTCAAGGCAGAGGAGGAGGGGAGAGGAAATAACAAAGAATCCTGCTCCATGGAAGCCAGTAAACACAGCTGCACTCCAGGCGCCTTGGGAGAACCATCCCATCTTGCTGGCTACGTTAGCCACCCAAACCTCTGTGTGTGTGTGTGTGTGTGTTGTTTTTTATTCCCCAAGGAAGTGGATAGCATACGCTTGCTTGGCTGACTTAACGTGGCCAGAGGCTAAATGTGCATTTCCCTTGCTTTTCAGGAAGGACTCACCTCGATTGGCAGGGAGGGTGATGGGCTCCGTGCTGAAGAGGGTGTGAAGGGCTTCTTGGCCTGTAACGGGCAAATTAAAGCTTCAATGAAAAAGAATGCCGAGTTAGAAACGATTCAAATTTGGGACAATCAGAATAGAGGTGGAAGGGACCTTGGAGGTCTTCTAGTCTAACCCCCTGCTCAAGCAAGGAGACCCCATGTTATTTCAGACAAGTGACTGTCCAGTGTCTTGTTTAAAAACTTCCAGTAATGGAGCACCCACAACTTCTCAAGACAAGCTGTTCTACACTGGTTAATTGTCCTCACTTTTAGGAAGTTTCTCCTGAGTTCCAGGTTGATTATTATTTTTTATTTATTTTGTTTGATTTGTCAATTGCTTACAAGATAATAGGTATAAGTAAAAACCATAGTTATGAATACATGGATACATATAAGAAAAATAAAAGAAACAATTGGACAGGGACGGTAGGCACGTTGGTGCGCTTATGCACGCCCCCTATTATTTTATTTTATTGTTTAATATTATCGATTAGTTTCAATCCATTGTTTCTTTCCTTGCCTTCTGGTGCTTTGGAAAATAAATTGACCCCCCCTCTTCTTTGTGGCAATATCTCAAATACTGGAATATTGCTATCATGTCATCCCCTGGTCCTTCCTTTCTCTAGACTAGCCAAACCCAAATCCTGCAGCCATTCTTCGTAGGTTTTTGCCTCCAGGCCTTTAATCTTCTCAGTTGCTTTTCTTTGCACTTTTTCCAAAGTCTCAACATCTTTTTTTTTTTTTTTTGTAATGTGGTGACAGTTAAATAATGTGGGACAATGGTCCTTGGGCTTGAATTAGGAGGATGTAGAGCACGATGGGATTTCCCACTCCAGAGGCCAGTTTCCCATATGGTGTTACAACTATTGTTCAACATCTGTTTTTCCCTTATCTTCGGTTTGAGCTCAGAAACTTGCGAGCACGCATGGCGCTCTTGAATGCTTCTTGAGGTCACTGTGATTTCCTCGCCAGAAGCAGGCACGAGATCCCTGTTTCAATATTCCACTCTACTTCCATGGATTAGTGATACACAAGACCTAGTTCAGATAATAGCTGGGCCTACGGATGGTTCTATCCATGGACCCCCTGCCACGAACTAAGCTAGGGATCTGCATACCCAAGTAGGATTCTCAAGGATGGACGACTTCCCCGGTTCATAATCAAAAATGCTCCTGGGCTCATTGCTGGTGGCATCTGCAGTTTCCCAATTTCTCCTGCAAAACAAAAATGTGGAATCTGATTATGTGTGTGTGTGTGTGTGTGTGTGTGTATGTCATATATAGTAGTTAAAGGATTATTGTTAATGTAGAATGTGGTAATTAAAAATGGCTATATTGTTATAAATTTTTATGATGGGTCAAAGAGACTAAAATGGGGAAAATGTATAAGGTAAAGGGGTGGCAAGCTTGAATTGACAATGAAAGGGGATAACTTTTGGGCAATAAAAATTAAGATGAATTTTATTGAACAATGAATGGAATAATAGAACGTGATAAAATTTGCAAATTTGACGGATATAAGAAAATGTGTGTAATGAATATAGACACTGAATAAGAATGTAGATAATATTGCAAAATGATGCATGAGAATATTTAAAGAAAAATGAAATAAGCAATAATACGATATGAAATTGGATATGAAAGCTGAATATGTAATCATGGTCATGTTTGTATTGAAATGTAAAAACCTGGAACCACATTGTTCACCTAAAGAGATGTTTATTAAAATAGAAAAATTAAAAAAAATTACTGCAAAAAGAAAAAAAAAGGAAAGAAAAATGGGAGAACTTCAAATGCTCTGCATGATGTGCCTTCTCTCCCTTTTGGCCCCAATGACTTCCTGCCTTGTATTTGCAAAGATCTACTTTAGCAGAGACTGTTCCCAGCATGAAAGGATTGTTGCAACAGTCCAGACCAAGCTGGCTGGGGAATTCTGGGAGTTGAAGTCCTCCAGGCTTAAAGTTGCCAAGGTTGGAGAGCCATTTTTGTGCCTTTACAGCTACATTCCCTCCCTACGTATCCTCTGGGAGTATCAAAACACCCACATTTTTTGGTAAATGCTAGATCAGGGGTGGGCAAACTTTTTGGCTCGGGGGCCTCATTGACTTTTAAAATTTGACAGATGGGCCGCTACCTGGTGTCGAAATGCCTGTCATTACAAGTCAAAATCAAATGAATGCAATCATTCAATCATTCACATCAAACCTTAATTCTGTACCAATCTTCGGCGGGCCGGATTAAAAAGACCAACGGGCCGGATGTGGCCCTCGGGCCGTAGTTTGCCCACCCCTGTGCTAGATTGTGGTTGATGTGGGTGTTGTGAAATGGCAAAGCGGCAACCATCCACGCATGGACCTTCCACTGTCACCTGATAACACTTCAAACATAAGCAGAGTGGTGCACGTATTCAGCAGAAAATGACTGAGAGATAACTCATGGAGATAAATAACAGCAAGGGCACATTTATACATTTTACAGATAAATCCATTTCATGTTAAAATCTGACATCTCCCTCTAGTGTTACAGTTGGGCACTGGAATAGGCATGGATTCAAGCTGATGAATTATTCCACAGAGGGACTGATTTTAGATTTATTTATTTTATTTTGTCAAGCATGTTTTAGATAACAGATATAATTAGGAATATGATTATGAGTACATGAAATGAGTACAAATAAAAGGGGACATTAGGACAGGGGTGGTAGCAGAGGTGGTATTCAGCAGGTTCTGACCAGTTCTGGAGAACCGGTAGAGGAAATTTTGAGTCGTTCGGAGAACCGGCCAATACCACCTCTGGCTGGCCCCGCCCCATCTATTCTCCGCCTCCCATGTCCCAGCTGATTGGCTGGGTCTCCTTTAGTTGCCCTGCACAGGAGAACAGAGCTGGAAAGCAGGTTAGTGGGATGGGGAGGGAATGGGATTTTGCAGTAACCTTCCCCCAGGAGTGGAAAGGGAATGGAGATTTTGCAGTCTCCTTCCCCTGCCACGCCCACGAACCCATGCCTACCAAGCCACGCCCACAGAACCGGTAGTAAAAAAATTTGAATCCCACCACTGTATGGTAGGCATGTTAGTGTGCTTATGCACACCCCCTTACAAACCTCCTACGAATGAAGTGAAGTGAGGTCAACAGTAGACAGTCTAAGCTTAAAGTTTTTGGGGTTTGGGGAAAAAAACCACAGAGTCAGGTAGTGCATTCCAGGCATTGACCACTCTGTTGCTGAAGTCGTATTTCCCGCAATCAAGTTTTGTGCAGCTTACCCTGAGTTTGTATCTATTGTGTGCTCGTGTATTGTTGAGATTGAAGCTGCAATAGTAATTGACAGGTAGGACATTGTAATGGATAAATTTATGTACTACGCTTAGGTCAGACCGAAGGCGGCGTAGTTCTAAGTTAGACTTACAGGGTCTAATTATTTTTTCAGTCCATTGTTCAGAGCCAGATATAAAACACAGATGAGATGACACAGAATTTGGGAACAAGGATGTCCTCCAATATTTCAGGGGGCACTTAGTTTATTTTCCTCAAATTCTGTTGAATGTGGATTCCCAAATATTCCATGCTTCCCTAAAGTCTCAAATTCACTTGTACTAAAGTGCCACTGAAATGGACCTCACTTAATAGTAACATATGTACTAATAACAATAGTAGTAGTACAACAGAATGATTTTAATCATCTTTATAGTTATGTTAGCTTATTTGTAATCCTATTGATTATATTAGCATATTTATAGTTTTAAAAAATGTTCATGATTCATTTGTATATAGCAATGCTCTTCATCTAATTTCTACCTCTTATCTCTAACCATTGATAAAACCTATTCCACATTAAGTAATACACTGTATCTCCTTTATCTTTTATTTTCAATATCAAGCTATCCATCTCTGCACAGTCCAATATTTTCTGGATTATATTTTCATCTAGTGGGGTGGTTCTCATTTTTCCAATATTGAGCAAATACAATTCTCGCTGCAGTCAGTACATGTAAAATTAAACATATTTTGTCATAGCTTTCTGGTATTATACCTAACAAAAATATTTCTGGTTTCTAAATCTATATGCTGCTTAATCATCTTTTCCAACCATGTGTGTATTTTCATCCGGTATTTTCTTGCCTTCATACATGTCCACCACTGAAATGGACCTCACTTCTGAATAAATGCAAGGGGTTGAGTTGCAAATAAGCTTACATTCATAATGCCAGGGAAGTGCATGGTCTCGTGTCTTTATATTCAACCCCATATTTATTTCTGATGTTCATAGGGCTTTGCCACCCTTCTGTATGTTGGTGGGTTGCCGTCCTTCACATCAGAGGAGAAACTCACATCTTCCATGTTTCTACTCACCAATCCAAGCCATTCTTTTGGCGGGAGGAACTGCTTGGGGTCATCAGTGGAGGTTGGTTCTTCTTCATGAGCTCTGGAGGGTCATGATCTGGAGGAGACAAAATGGTCACTGTGTGCGACAGGCCATCCTTTCCAAATGGAACAATGGGTGATCACTTTGATCTCTTCCCAGAACCACCACACCTACACACGTACACACTCCATTTACACATTCTCTCAGGCCGCCGATGGACAACCGAAAAGGCTTAGTGTTGGAACAAGTCAAGAATCTCCTTTTTGCTATCTCAGAAACCCCACGTGACCATGCAGCTGAACCTGGATGGTACAGTTTGCTGTTGATCTGAAAATTAATGGTACAGCTTCCTGCTAATATTAATCGGGAAACATCACAACCATCGTTTAAGATTTAAAATAGCTTTGTTTCTTTATTTAGTTTACTTTATACACTTCGTACAATGAAATCAAACACCATCTTCAGTGCACATCATGACCATGAAAATAAACACAAACACACATCCTTCATACTCCACATTGAATTGAAAACCCCCGACACCACATCAACACTGCACTATACTGGAGAATTCAACAGAGCCACTGCCCTGGGATAGAAGCTGTTTTTCAGCCTACTTGTCCTTGTTCTAATTATCCTGTGCCATCTGACAGATGGTAATAGTTCAAAAAAAAAAAAGGGGGGGGGGGTTCCCAGGATGAGATGGATCTTTGAGAATGTTTTAGAGTTTCTTAAAGCAGCGGGAGCTATAAAGCTCGTCCAAAGAGGGGAGAGGGCAACCAATGATCTTCTGGGCAATGATGTTAACCCTCTGGAGTGCTGTCCTATCTGCCCCTGTGCAATTGGCAAACCGTACATAGGTGCAATAAGTTAAGATACTCTCTATGGTGCAGCGGTAGAAGGTCACCAGCAGTTTTTCATCCAGTTGTTGTTTCCTGAGAAGCCTCAGGTAGTCTAATCTCTGCTGGGCCCTTTTGACCACGGCTGCAATGTGAGCCCCCCAGGTCAGGTCCTCTTTTAGGGTAACACCCAGAAACTTAAAACTGGCCACTTGCTCCACTCGGTCTCCATTGATAAGCAAGGGCTGGATGCCTGATCTGTTCCTTCTATAGTCCACTCTAAGCTCCTTGGTCTTATTGGTGTTGAGGACCAAGTTATTGTCTCCACGCCACAAAAGCAACCAGTCTACCTCATCTCAGTAGGCAGACTCATCCCTCCCAGAAACGAGTCCCACCATTTTGTTTATAAGAAACAAAGAAACCTTGAATACCAGAAAACCCCAGCATTAATCACATCTGTAACCTGGTTCCTCTTATCCTGCCTATGACCTCCTGTAAAAATATTAATTATGGTTCCTACCACCAACTTCTTGCCTACTTTGTATTAGGCACTTTGCTAGTGGGAGAGAAATCCCACGGCTACAACGTTCATGGTGGGAGGACCATTTCTTAGCCTATTCACAGGCAGAAGCCCAACCAGTTGAGCATTACGCATTAAGAAATCTCCACGAAGCCATGAGTCTGATGTCTTCAGGCCCTTCATTTGGCTGCTAAGGGCCTTCTAAGCATTGTCCCAGGCAAGTGTGTGTTATTCCCACATCAGTTACTTCCACAAAGTCAGGAGAAAATATTAAAAGAGTCAAGAACAAAGCCCAGCTGTACTACGGCATTTGCAGATGACCAATTTTGAACTCCACAGAGTTGTTTCTACAAAATAGACCTAAGACAAGAAGCTCTGAATATTTTATTGGTGCAGTAGAATGACTCCAAGATGCATTCCTGGGGGGCTTTTGCTTCCTTCTTGGTACAAGTTCTTGTCCCATAAATGAAACCTCTTCTATTATCCTTTTCACTCAACACTAGAACCCCACAATTTGCTGTTAGGATGCCATTTCTGGGAAATCCTTTGTGCAGCATACAATGACCAAACATTTCCCAATAGATAGCCAGGGAGCGTGTTCAAAAGCATGAGAAAACCATGTACCTCTTGGTTTGTAGGGATCCCAATCCAGGTCTGAATCTGAAAGAGAAGAGACAGATGTCCATGGGAGGTGGGCTCTATATTTGAGAGGACTAAAGCTAATGGATCCCCTTCATGGCTTACAAAGTTGCAGTAGTCAGAGCAGCAATAAATTGTTGGGTTTAAAAACCCTATGAAGCTCCAAATTAAATTAATATTCTAAAGGACTGCTAGGTTGGGCAAATCTGGTGGGATCTATTTAGAGTGCTGGTCAGAAAGAAAAAAAAAAAGAATCACGAGATGCCTAAACCAGCTATTAGCTATGGCCTCACCGTGGCTTATTAGTTGCTGAAGCCGTGTGGCAAGAAACAAGCCATGTTTCCAATGTGCAAATAGGGAGTTAAAAAGAGTGGGCATCTCAGTTTGCATCTAAGCTTCATTTGGCAGACAAAATAAGATGATGATGTGGGGAAACTCCCAGGAAAAACAACGATTGTACAGAATAGAAATTGTTATCCACTAGAGGATGCACAATAATTGTGTTCCTTGCTGTTTTTATCTCTCTAGGTCAGGAGTCCCCAAACTTGGCAACAATATAGCTGGCTGGAGAATTCTGGGAGTTGAAGTCCACAAGTCTTAAAGTTGCCAAGTTTGGAGATCTCTACTCTAGGTAGTCAATTCCCAAGTTATGGTTTCTAAAGCCACTTTCTCACTATTGAGTTAAAGTGTAATCCATATATCTATGTGTCTTCAGGAAACAAAGACATAATCAAATTATCTGTCCACATTGCAGATTCCTGACCTTTTCTGCCTTTGTTGTGATCCTCTGTCAAATCTTATTGGTTTTATTGGCCTGAAATAGATGAAAGAGTTGCAGAGAAGAGCAACCAAGATGATAAGGGATCTGGAAGTTAAATCATATGATGAATAATTGAAGGAATTAGGTATGTCTAGCATATCAAAGAGAAGGATTGGGGTGCGGAGGCACATGATAACTGTCTTCCAATATTTGAGGGGCTGTCACAGGGAAGAGGAGGTTGACTTATTCTCTAAAGCACCAGAGGGCAGGACAAGAAGTCATGGGTGGAAGATCATTAAAGACAGATCCAACCTAGAATTAAGGAGAAATTTCCCGACAGTGAGAACAAATGAATCAGTGGAATAGCTTGCTTTCAGAAGTTGTGGGTACTCCATCACTGGAGGTCTTCAAGAAGAGACTTCCATTTGACCAAAATACAAGGTCAACCACCTTGAGCTAGATGGCCTCCAAAAATAAGGTTCAAGAGGGAAAGGCTATTTTTGTCCTGGTTATACAACATGAAGAAACCATGTGTTTTAACGCGTGAACCAAGAATGAAATGAGGTGAACATCATGCAGAAAGGGAGAAAATGGAAGTTATCAGGGCATTGCTACGCGACTTTAAACTGCAAATGGACAGAGAGAGTCTAAAACGATTGAGACGGTTTTTTAATCTAAATTACTGTTTCTCAGCCTTTCACATGTGTGGACTTCAACTCCCAGATTTCTCCATCTGGCTGTGCAGGCTGGGGAATTTTGGGAGTTGATACAGAGATAGAAAATTAGCTGTGGTGGTACAGTGGTTAGAATGCAGTATTACAGTCTAATTCTGCCCACTGCCAGCAGTTCAATTCTGACCAGCTCAAGGTTGACTCAGTCTTCCATCCTTCCGAGGACAGTAAAATGAGGACCTAGATTGTTGGGGGCAACAGGCTGACTCTTAGACCGCTTAAAGAATGCTATAAAGCACTGTGAAGTGGTATATAAGTCTAAATGCTATTGCTATTGCTAAAATTAACAGGATGCTTCGAAAAAGTCCATACCTGGTAGAATGTGCAGAAATGGATAGATTAACACTTAAAGTTAAGGAGAAGGAAGAAACTGAATACTTCTTAACATGGAATTTGTTTTATCAATGGCTAACTGGCAGAAACACAAGTTAGAAATTTAAAAGCCTAAGAGAATGATTAATCACACGAGGAAGGTTCACTAAAATGGATAAGCAAATGCTACTTTATTATGTGATCACTATTAATGTTATGAATATTATTGTTACTATTATTATTATTTCTTAAAATTAACTGTACCCAGAGACAACACACTGTTTATGAAGACATTGAATTTTTTATGTTCAATAAAAAAAATTAAAACTTAAGACAAAGAAAAAAGAAAAAGTCCATACCTGGAAGTTTACTGTGGATTTGCTGGAACATGCTGCGGTACCAATCCCTAGGACTGTCTACACTCTGCAATACAAATCAAATATATAAAATCAGTAACAGGAAAGGAAAGATGGAACAAAGGTACACATACTGTGAAGGACTAAGCAACATCTTTGCGCGGAATTCGACAATCCTGTATCATGACGGAAAAGTAAGAATCTCTCAGGAGTGCAAGAAGACTTTGGCATGGTGGTTAGAATGCAGTCTTGCAGGCTAACTCTGCCCACTGCCAGCAGTTCGATCCTGACCGGCTCCAGGTTGACTCAGCCTTCCATCCTTCCGAGGTCGGCAAAATGAGGACCCAGATTGTTGAGGGCAAGAGGCTGACTCCATAAATTGTTTAAAGAATGCACTATGGTGTGCTATATAAGAGCTATATAAGAGCTGCGGTGGCGCAGTGGCTAGAATGTGGTATCTCAGGCTTACTCACTGCTCGCTCCAGGAGTTCGATTCTGACTGGCTCAAGGTTGACTTGAGCCAGTCATCCTTCCAAGGTTGGTAAAACGAGGACCCACATTGTTGGTGGCAAGAGGCTGACTCTGTAAACCGCTTAGAAAGGGCTGTAAAAGCACTGTGAAGCGGTATATAAGTCTAAGTGCTATTGCTATCGCTAATATGCAATGCACAGACTACCAGGAATCCGGCTTTTTCATCTCTATGCAAAAACAGGCACGTAAATGATGAACTCTGAGGATGGGTGGAGGCTATATCTGACCTATGAAGTAAATGTTGTACAAATGTAAAGTGTCTTGCAAACTGGAGCCCCTGGAGCTTCCTTCTTTGCTGCAAAGTTAATAAGAGAATGCAAGGGAATAAGAGCTGTGATGCAAACATCAAATCTATGATCAAGGGCTAAGAGAAACAGAGAATCTCCCCAGGGGAGTAATCGCTAATGGGCAAAAGAGCACTCCCTCTTAAGGTTGGCTTTCCATTGGTACACTGCAGTTTATATTAACCCAGCATTAGATTTTTATGCCAACTCTTGCAAGGAAAGTATTTTTATGTCAATGAGACCACAGACACCACTCGATGTCAGATCAATATCTGGGTAATTTTAAATCCTGGGTGTCAAACCTACAGCTTTCCAGATGTCATTGGACTACAAATCTCTGCAGCTTCAAGCGTGAGCCAATGGTAAAAGATGCTGAGAATGGTAATTGATGGACATCTGGAAAGTCACTCTTTTTTTTTTGTCATTTCTGCACAGATGGCTCTCATTCATTTGCCAAATCATCCTCAGGTTTTCATGGCTTGGGAATTAATCCAAAAGGTCCCCAGCCTGTGACAGCTTGGCAATAATCTGGGATTATTGCAGGGATTTTTAAAATGAAGAGGGGTGGAATTCTTTGTCTATCTAAGAAGGAAATAAAAGGGCCAGAACTCATCCTTCCCAGTAGCCAACACCTAGATAAGCAGGGATTATTAACACCAGACAAACAATCAAGCAGAAACAATAACTTAATCAAAGGAGACAAACAATCAAGCAAACAATCAGTCAGTAAACAATAGTTAAGGGACTACCAAAGAGTAAACCATACCCCCCCACAACACTGGCAGGGCAAGCAATTGAATATAAACAGGGAGCAAACTCCACACTCACTAGCACAGATGATATTACCTAGTTGGGTAATGAAATGTCGGCAAGCAAACAATCTGGCTCAGAGAGCCCCAAGGACTGTACAATTCAAACCTGAGCTGCAAATATTTTCTTCTATTGGTACCCAAAAATATACGCATTGCACCACTTTGACCAATTAGATGCGCATAACTTTATATATTTAGAACAATCTGTATTCTTGATAGTATTGACTGCAGTATGAAACAGGAATGTTATCTATCAAAAATGAAGGGAAAAGCATCACAATAGGGGGTATGAAGGCCAACTCGCCATGGCCAACTTGGTGCAAGACAACTCGCCATAGCTAACTCGTCACGGGACAACTTGCCGTGGGACAATTTAACAATTCAATTTGATTATTCAAAATAAATAAACAAATATTTTAATTTTTGTTATTCACATTTCATTCTGTCCTTCCTTTTGCGTCCTTTGTTGAATAGCACTAGCAATAGTACTTATATACCACTTTAAAGTGCTTTCCAGCCCCCTCTAAGTGGTTTACAGAATCAGTCTATTTCCCTCAACAATCCTCATTTTTACCAACCTCAGAAGGATGGACGGCTGAGTCAACCTTGAGCCTGGTGAGATTTGAACTGCCAAATTGCAGTCAGCCGGCAGTCAGCAGAAGGAGCCTGCAGTACTGCACTCTAACCACTGCGCCACCATGGCTTAATGATTCTATTCCACCATTTCTCTGGTATTATTGTAACTCATGTCCCATAGCGAAGTGTCCCATGGCAAGTTGGCTGTGGCAAGTTGGCCATGGTGAGTTGACTTTGGCAAGTTGGCCATGGTGAATTGTCATAGACCCCACTCTGAATTCATTCACACAATTAACAGTTCAACCCTGAGCTCCATATAATGAAGAAGGATACTGAAAAGTAGACTTTTCCTTCCTGTTTACAGTTACTCCAAGGACTCACCGATCGAGAGGCAAGGGGCATCCCAGACTCATCCACTGGCCCGATCCCATCGTACTTCACCCAACGTTTCTCTCTCCTCTTGCCATCTTTTGTCCAGGTGGCTGACCAGCTTGGTTGTGCTACGCCGTTCACAGTCGGGTAATTGGCTGAACCAGCCAAGTAAGAAGAATGAGCAGGATCAGTTTTCAGTGGTCTAATTTCTTTAGCAGGCCAGGTTGGGTACCAATTATTCACTGCCAAGAGATGAGGTCAGGTCATAATGAGAGAAAGATCTAATTGAGCATTACGTCCTATCCCTGTCTCCATTGTCTCTAATACTGCTACCTTTAGAACAAGCAATTTGCTGCAGTTCCTGGACAAAAATTGCATTATTTGGCAATTTCATGTGGGTTGGTTTTAAAAAATCATTTAAGTTGGCCTGAATTATCAGGGAAACAGATTAAGTGGAACTTGGAGTAGCCCAAATAAGTTCGACTAACAATTTCGGATGGGGCGGGTGGTTCTATGCTATACATCACCGACAAGCAAATATAATGTCAGGATTCTGGCAGTTACCCCCATTTAAATCATGAATCTTGAGCCAAACTTCCAAAACTTCAAAAGGATTTATTAGGAGTAAACATGCTGGTATTGCCTGGGTGTAGCCGACTCTGTCACATCATTCATTGTCACCCTTGACCCTAGTTTTCCCTCCACCCCCTGGGTGTATCGTAATTCATATTCTCCAATGGGACACGTCCATAGCACAAAAGAAACAAAGTCACAAAAGTAGGTAAAGTCCCTTAATAGCAATAGCACTTAGGCTATTGCTTTATAGACCTCTCTAAGTGGTTTACAGAGTGCTTTATAGACCTCTCTAAGTGGTTTACAGAGTCAGCATATTGCCCTCAACAATTTGGGTCCCACCTCGGAAGGATGGAAGGCTGAGTCAATCTTGAGCCTTGGTGGGATTTGAACTGCCAAGTTGCAGGCAGCTGGCTGCAGAAGTAGCTTGCAATACTGCACTCTAGCCACTGCACCACAGAGGCTCCTGTTAAGGCCTCCAACTTGGCCCCCAATGTCCAGTTATCATCGGTTGGAGAAAAAACTCTCCCAAGAACAGTTTTTAAAAGGAAGAAATTCAGTCTGAACCCAAAGTACACCTAAATTATAAATAAAAACCAACACAAACCACAGCTGCAGCAATTAACGAGACAGGGCAGGATAAGGAATTGAAGACTTCAAAAGATAACGAAAGACACACAGTTGGGAGGATGCCAGAACCCAGATAAGCCTCGACAAACAAATATAATTCATGTTTTGCTTCCAGCAAGGTGCTGTGTGCAAACACCCTTTTAAAATCCTGTTTTCCCAGCTGCAGCTAATGTAGGGAATCAGGGCCCTTTTCTCCCCTGTAACCCACGTAACTCACGTTGCTCCCTTATCCGTTCCTCCCTGTGTGCCCTATGATGAAGAGGGGGCGGCCCTGGGTCTTCCTCTGAATGCCCAGCCGGACTGTGCCCTTCCCCCGTTTCTTCCACAGCCACCGGAGCCACACTCCCACTCCCTGCCAGCTGCTCAATCTCCCCCTCAGAATCAGATTCCAACAAGGGCATGACAATTTATTTGATTTGTCAAACGCTTACAATATAATAGAAATAAGAATAAACACAAGTTTAAATATAAGAAATAGGAACGGATAATTGGGGACAATGGGACAGGGACGGTAGGCACGAGGGTGCGCTCATGCACGCCCCTTACAGACCTCTTAGGAATGGGGTGAGGTCAATAGAGGTTAGTTTGAGGGTAGAGGAGTGGGAGTTTGATCAGGTGACAACAGAGTCAGGTAGTGAGTTCCAGACAGTGACCACTCTGTTGCTGAAATCATACTTCCTGCAATCAAGTTTGGAGTGGTTTACATTCAGTTTATATTTGTTGTGTGCTCTTGTGTTGTTGTGGTTAAAGCTGAAATATTCATTAACTGGTAAGACGTTGTAACATATGATTTTATGTACTATGCTTAAGTCCAATCTTAGCCGGCATAGTTCAAGGTTGTTTAGGCCTAGAATTTCAAGCCTGGTGGTGTAGGGTACTCTTTTGCGAACAGAGGAGTGTAGTACTCTTCTAGTAAAATACTTCTGGAATCGCTCAATTGTATTAATGTCTGATAAACAGTGCGGATTCCAGACAGCAGAGCTGTATTCAAGTATTGGTCTAGCAAAGGCATGCTGCTGAATTTAAACACTGTCTTTTACTCAAAGCTCTGCTGTCAAAAAGGACCACCAAAGGCTTCCAATTCTTCCCCTGGGAGGAGGAAGAGAAAGCTAGCGGAGCTTTAGAAGTGGGCCTGGCTGTATTTAAACATAAAAGATTAAGCACCAACGGATAACAGGAAGATAAGACGGCAAGGACTACAAAGTGTTCTCTGTCGCTTGCCAAGGAAATCTATTATCATCCCCATTCTTGGCTGGAGTATTACCTGAGCTCTGCTGAGTTGTTTTCCATGGCTGGGATATTCCGTTGTACACTTGCCGGGGAGTTGTATCGTGGAATTCAAAATTTAGGGTATTCGACCCACAACTGTGAATCACGGGAACCTATGTATATATGTATATATGTATATATGTATATATACAGGACAGATAAAAGAACATCCTCCATTAGTACGCAGCTTTGGCTCTCTTTGGAAAACCTCCCCGTTGTAAAAAAAGGGAAGACGTTTTTCATTGCTCAACTGTGCCCCACGAGAACATGGCTAATCACAATCTGAGGCACGCCTTCCGCCCATGTTGTGTATTCCTTTTACCCTAGGAAAGTTCATTAGGCTGAGGGATTGGGAAAATGCTTTTATTCTTATCATTTTGGGAGAGTGAACATTTACTTCACTATCTTTTCTCTTCTTTTGCCTGTCACACTTCAGAAAAATAAGGCTTGAATTCAAAATTACCCGTAAAATTTTACTAAAAACATCAATCCTATTATGTAGCATTATTTTACTAATTTCTCATATTGAATCCTAATAAAATAAGCTGTAAGATAACCAAAGTCAATGTTCAGACATTTATAGCGTGTTAATGTTAATTTCCAATCCTTTCTGAAAACAATTTTCCTCCTCTTTTTTTAAAAAAGGCCTTTGATCTTTCCAGATAGATTTATATTGTTTGCCTTATGAATTACTTTACCAATTAAGACTGGCGAAAGTCCAACTGTATTGTATTACAGATTTCTGTGTAATTTTCTCAATGGTTTTCCTTGGAATCGACCAGCAACAGACATTGAATGTTGCAATGGAGGAACTAAGAAAAGATCAAGGGTGAGAAAATATACAACTTCCTCTGCACATTTTCATGCTGTGAAGACTAATTTAAGCAAGCACAAAGTAACTTGTTCTTCCTGGGGCTGGAGATAACAACAATTTTAATTAAATGTCCTCAGAGCTGATATGTAGAAATATGTAAAAATGTGTGCTTAACTCAATTCACATAATTAATTTAGTTTGACTCTTAAACTTTATCTAATTTCTCCCTTAGTTTTGATAGGGGGGAAAAACACATTATTTTTTATTATTTTCACAAATAACTCAAGGCAGTCAACATCTCCAACACACCTTCCTCCTCCTATTTTCCCCACAACTCTGTGACATGGATTGGACCGAGGATGAGTTCGAAGGCTCGAACTGGCTCGAAGTCACCCAGCTGGCATTCATGGCTAGGTGGGATTTGAACTCATGGCCTCTTTCTTTCTAGGTTCCTTAACCTGGCAAGTTTAAGACTTGTGGACTTCATCTCCCAGAATTCCTGAGCTGGAAGAGGAATTCTGGGAGTTGAAGTCCACAAGCCTTCAAACTATCAAGGTTGAAGACCCCTGCACTAGACCAAACTGGCTCTCATATTTCCATTTATGGGGAAGAGAAAGGGCCAGCAGATCCAATGAATGAAAAGATCTGGTATTATAAAGCCGATCGTATCCTCCCCGTCTGCCTTTTCCCACCAAAGCTTCCAGAAGTCA